CTGCTGAATGGGAAAGTTTTATTTTGCCAAAATCGAAATAAACTTAATGGATAAGCTCTCAGTTTGGTTAATCATATAAATACATGTTTGAATACCGAGCTGAAGTTTCCTAAATGTAGCAGACTATCATTTTGTTGTTTTTTGACTAAACAACACCACGGCCACCTTTGTAGGAGGAGAACTTGAGTTCTTTGGGGTTTTTAAAGGCAGCAGTATTTACTGGGTTCCAATATTTTCCATAAACTATAATTTTTGCAGTGATTGACTTGCAGACTCATGCCCTCTTTCTACGCCTGGTCACATAAACATCCCTGCGGGATCACAGCAACTGTTTAAATAGAAAATTAACACTGCAGATAGATGTAGGTTAGTATGTTTGAGAAGCACTGAACATCGATCTAACTAGCAACAGCCAAAATTGATTTTACTGTCAACTCCTAAAGGAACTGTAGAGTGCTACCAGTTATATTCCACGAAGTCATTTTATTTTATTATTTAGCTTTGTAAAAAAAAAAAGAAAAAAGCAGTTTAGCGGATAGAAATATGGAGAAGAGAGAATCATCAGGTCACTTCTGTAGAGTATTGCTGTAGGATCCAAGTGTCTAAACTAACCTCCAAAGGGCTTCAATAGCTTGCAGTATGCTACTCTGTAAGCACTTCAGATGTTGATAACACCACACGCTGCACAGAGCCTTACATGTAGCACTGATTTAGTGCATCACTGTCTTTTAGCGCTGTATGTTTGTTAACCCAATCATAAAATCAGGCAAAGAACTGCTAGTCACAAACTCAGTATCCCTTGTAAAATGTCACATGTAATATCTGCCATTGCTGCTGGCTGCAAATGTTTCTTGCTGTTCTTTTGCAAACACTAAAAAAAAAAAAAAAATCTTAGGAGAATACAAAATACAATACTTACTGCTGTACATTATGGATAATTATCTCTTAACAGTAACTAGCTTTGTATGTAATTTGTTTCCTGATGCTCAGACACCTCTTGATTAATATCATATATAAAGACTATGTTATACAGACAGCTATAAATGCAAAACTGATAATTCTAATGAAGTTCATTGCTGCACTAATTAGTTTATCTGTGCAAAAATTAAAGTTTTAGGGAAATAATCTACAGTGCCTAATAAGAAAAGAAATGTTCTTTATTTTGCATGTTTGTCCAGTAATTTCAGTTTTCTTTAGCCTTCTTTTTTCGGTTAATTTTTCTAATTCACCATATGGCACTGGCACTCCATTTTTCCAGCATTTGCTGAATGAAAAAAAAAGAATTGCATTGTCCATTTTGCTAAAACAGGTACACCAGCTGATGTAATTAAAAGCTGAAACTCCTCCAACCGAATCCATTGCATGTGAAAAAAATTTTTAAAAGTCATTTAAAGATCAGATGACCTTATAAAAGCTCTTAGAAGCAGACTAATGCTTAATATAGCGTCAGGGTTTCCAAGCTTTTGTCAAGCTTTTCATTTTGTTCATTAGACCTACTTATTCAGCAGTAACAGGAAAACTGACGGTATAGCTTTCAGTTCTCCGGTGCTCTGGAAGTGCTTTATCATCATTCCTAGTCTGAAAAGCAGGTGAAGAGAGTGCCAAGAGCCTGCTTCCAGGTATGTTTTGCTAAAAATCCCAATCCTTATTATTCTGGCACCCCTCTGCAATGCTTTACCCATACCAGGCAACGGCACTGCTGACAGCTGTAGGTCCAGTTGTCCCCACTGCGGTAGAGCTTGTGCCCAGTTTGGTCGAGGCACTGGCTGGTGACACGGGTGTCGCACTCCGGGCAGCAGAAGAGATCAGCGCTGGGGTTCTCGCAGTCACAGGCTGTCCTCCGGCAGAATATCCTCCCGTCCTGCGAGGACACATTGCCCTGCCGTCAACCACAAACTGCCAGACAGCAACCCGGATAAGGTCACAGGGTATATATATCAAAGGGCACGTCTTTGGCATATCAGGAAATATTCAGTTCTTAATGTATTTGATGTAACCTCCAACAAGGACTGGATCCCTCCAGCTGTGAGTAATACCTCAAATACCAGTATTGTCCCAATTTCTATCAGTGCATGGATCCAATACTGTCTGAATCTGAGAATACTGTTTTCTTCTCTCCAGCTAATTGAATTTAAAAGAAACCAGTATCTCAGGAAAAAATATAGTGAAGCAATTTCGTATCTCATTGGTTACATCAACGAACTCTTCAAGCAGTTGCCACTCTAATACGTACAATATTTGTGTAGCGCTATTTTGACTGACTGTATCACTGCGAAGAATATAACTTGAATAAATAAGTTGAAGCTATGAAGGTGGTCCCTTTAACTTCATAGGACACCAATATAGCAAAAATCACAGTGGCGCTAATCATTCTTTACTCTGAATTCACCACTGGTTCTGTTCCACATCTGGACCTACAGTACACCATCTTGAAGCTAAATGGACTTATCATCATCCATTATAATTCTGTTCATGTATTAAAGACAGCTTGTACTCCACAAGCTCTCCAAAATATGATTTTGCTAAATATTTGCTTACAGTATTGGATAGCCCATTTTGTTAAAGACCATTAAACAGAAATGTTTGAGATAAACAGAAGAATTGCTTCTGCATGTAAAGAGGAAAGGATATATTCTCTTTGCATCAGAGAAAAACAAATTGATTCTAATTCTGGTTATGAAAATTGGATGGACTATCGTGTTTGAAATTATACCCCTTACTGTAGGTGAGCCAACATACCGATATGCCACACGTAGACTGGGAACCGAAATCACAGTTAACAATGAGCAGATTATTTGAAAGTTTTGACATGGCTTTCTTTTGCACTCAATGCTAGTTCTTGGACTAGTGCTTCTTCAAGCAAAGTGTCCCCTGCAGCAAATTTGAAGATAGAGGAATGAAGCTATATTCTGCTGTGGATCACAACTCTACAATTCCTAAGACCACCACCCCCCCGCCCATTTCATTGTGGTTTTTCCATATTCCCATCAGAACCTCGTTCTGAGTTCATAAATCTGTATCTGATGTAAGAAGGAAAAGTTTTTTTCATTGCCACCAAATAAAGGGATACCTATCAAGGGAATTTATTTCCTCTTGATCCTTCTAAAAAGCAATTACTAAAATGAATGACAGCAGCCCAGGATATCTTTGCCACAGGCAGACAAAATAGCCATAACCACAGCGTGTAGCATGGGAGGTTGTTTTGTTTGTATTTTGATGTAGGAATCTGTGTTTGGCTCTTGTTTTTAAGCAAAGCCAGCCTTGGCCACAATGCAACATGTACAAAATCAGCATCAGGGACTCACGATACCCATGCCAGTCAGTGTCACTGCTGCATTTCATCATAGTTTTGAATCTATTAGCATATTACTTTCTGTTGTAAGAATAATTAAAATGACTTCTTATGCCTACCTAACAAGGAAAGCTGAACACAGAATTATGGAAATGTAGAAAACATGCTAAGGTTAACATGGATCTGAACTGCTTTACCCAACCACAGGGCACAGGACTCGATTGCCCTACAGTCTTTATTCAGTTTTCTATCAAATTAAGAGAATTAAGGATTTTGTACCTGTGGCTAGTTTGCTGCTTTAGCTGTGGGAGAAGGAATAAACAAGCTTTATTTTCTTACTCCGCAGTCGAGTAAATCATACAGTGAGGAAGACTGGCAGTGGCCCACTCCCTTAGCCACAGGTCCAGCCAGGTCCAGATGCAATGCTGGGAATAAACCCTTTCCACAAAAAAACGAAGAAAGAAGTCATCCTCCCCTTTCAGCAAGTGGTGAAAGAAGAGAGCTGAAAGCCTTCCCTGATGGAGAGTTAGGACAAAATCTCCGTTCTTGCAGGTGGGAAAGCAAACCCATCGTCCATCCCTTGCTGAGGCCAGACATCAAGCAGCAGCTCAGCACAGAGGCTCTGCCAGGCTGACTAGCCCCTGGCACGGGGGGTGTGCCAGGCGCCCGGGCAACCCAGCGCCCTCGGCAACGGCAGTCTCTCTCCTCTCTGTAATGGAGTGCTGATTAATAACGGCTAACAATAACCTGTCTGCTCAGTGCCAATTCAGTTTCCAAGCTTTCAAGATTGGAATTCAAATTCCCCTTTCAGCTGGTGACAGTGCTGGTAGCTCTGTGCTTCTCTGAGCTCCCGTGCTGTTACCTCTGGGGAGCAGCTAACCTTTTACGCTGCCTTTACTCTCTGTATTTCAGAACACTGACGAAGCCTGATGGTTTTGCCAGAGACCTTTTGGTAATCATAATACACTGCTACTCTCTTTATTCTTTAAGCATCTGTGCCTTATCTACAACCTCATTAGCTCCATGCCTTTCAAAAAACATTTTTATCCCTATACTGCAGTGACACAAAGCCTCTTAAGCTACAACATCTCACTTGCATCTTTGCAGCTCTGTAGTAGCATTGAGAAATACACAGAAAATTGAGAAATACATAGAAAGAAACTTATTTTCTTTCAGTGGGTAATAACATAGAGCATCTTATTAGTACCTCTCCCTCCCCGCCTTCCTCACTGATACCAGTTCTACATGCTTCATAAGCGTCAGTGGTATGAACACAAAATTGTTCTTACCAAAGGAAAAACCGACGCACAAGGGAATCGCAGTAAAGGGTGACTCAAGTTTCCACAGAGCCCCAAAGCCAATTCGGACAGAAGTCAGACCCTGCAGAAACCAAACCACCAAACCGTTCCCACCATCAGGAACACACTTCATCTTGGCACATCCCCCTGTTCCCAGTGCTGTGCTTATCCCCCAGGCTTTTTTATACAGGGAATGGAGGGTTGTCTTAATTAGAGGGCAGCCTCAAAAGCGCAGATATAGTCAGACTGTACAGCCAGGCTTAGGTTTTTTTCATGGGAGAAACAGCTCCCCACCCCCCATCAAATTTCTACCAGTCTTGTGTATTAAATCCACAAGAGTTCAGGAAGATGCCTGTAGAAGACACACCAAATATACTTAAGGCACTGTATTAATTTATAGTTTTGAAAATTTGTTTTTGTAAACTTTACATTTACTCAGATGAACGAGGATGGTTTGAAGAGACTGGGTCTGATGAAACACTGAAATAATCCCCTGCACTTCAATAATGATACTTTGCTTCATCATATAACTGAAGTAATATAATTTCTCATATTCCATAGGATCCTAGTCCACAAATAACCTTACTTAATGGAATTCAAAGTTAAGTAAGGTACTTAATTTCCTTTGTACCAGATTTTAAGTTAAATTATTTTCAAGATGGGATCTGTGTGTTTCAGCCACTGCACAAAATATATCCATCTGACCTTTCTTAAAATAACCATAACAAAAGAAAAGCCAAAAGAAAACGTAGTATTTTAAAACTGAAATGCTGATTTGTCTCCTAGATCAAACAAGTGAGTAGGATCATTTCAAAGTTTGAGTAGGAAGTATAAGGAATGATTCAGTTACACTCTGCCCTTTTCCTCACTGAAAACTGAGCAGGCTGCAAAAAGGTCAAGCAGGGCCAGCTCTCCGTGCAGCTGCATGAAAAGGACAGTTTTTTGCAGTCCTGCAGCAGGCTTGAGAAGTAGTCTGGTGTATTGGAAGCTATCACAATTTATAAAAATATGTTTCAATAACATATTTCAATAAACACTGAGCACAGGCTTTACGTCCTGCCTGGGATATGATAGAGGAGAAGCTCTCCCTGCTTTCCCTGTTCTATAGACAAGAATTGGACTCTTGAAACAAGGCAGCTACTGGAGTGAAATTAAATGCAAATGCTAATCCACAGAGGAATAAAAACTGGAAAGTGAGGAAGATATAAAGGAAGAGTCATAGCAACAAACAGTGCCAGGCTTAGTTTAAAATATCTATGTACTAGTTAATCATTTTGTATGTTTTCATATACTAATAAGAACATTCAACATAAGAAAGAAGTGCAATGGGAAATGGCAAATAAAACAAATTACAAGCAATCTAAAATGGGAATACTAATAGTTATAATTCTGCAAAGGCAGACTAGATGTCTTCACATATATTAAACTGTTTATTCTATTGACTGGAAATCCTTTCATAAGCCAGCCAGTTCCCCAAGATTACAATAAAAGCTTAATATATAT